TAGTAGTGAATTTTAATATTAAAAAAATCGTTAAGTAATTTCAAGGTGATGGATTTCAGGGCAAAACATTCACCCTTGAGTGCAAGAGTGGAATTATAGTCAGTGATTTTTAGGAAATACAAGAATGTTTGTTGAGATTGTGAGGGAAGTTAAAATTAGGATTTAGGGTTATTCATAGAGTTAGGAATAGATTATAGGGCTAGTGTAAACTTTACTATAGGGGTTAGGGTATCTATAAACTAACCCCAAACTGTAATTTTGACCCTATGATCCAACGGTACAGAACTTATACGCAACGTTGTAAATTCATTAATCATATCAAATCGATATATTCTTCGAAAATTCTTTGGTTTCATCTTTAAAATGTTTCGTTAATATTTCTTTTCAGAACCACTCAAGAAGTCGCTGAAGTTCGTCTATATAATCAAACTTTATTTATATTGTTAATTCCATTTGGAAAGAAAAAAAATTTGACTCATCTACCATATAGCATGATCAGTATTTTAATGTGAAATGGCTCTGTGGAGAACTTTGTATACTATGTGAGGGTAATTTCCATAAAAAAACACATCCTTGCCCTGGAAAAGCATTTAAAGTCAAAGCATACTAGAGGGTTGTTTCGCATTAGTTTTTCAGTATGCCTCAGTAGTATGAACTCACGACGTCATATAAAATTGATCCCAGAGCCTATAGGCTTTGTGTGCTGGTATTTTAGAGCTTCAGTAGAATAATGAAACAAAAGCACTATCTCATTTCACATTAGACCTAGCCAACACTCTTCAATTTTCATAGTAGAAAACCTCTGTTGAGTAAGCATAGAATCTTTTCAAAATAATGCATAGAACACTGTAGTAAACTATGACTCATGAGTAAAGTGCAACTGGAAGCCAACTTTATTGAATCTGAAGTAGACTAATTAGTGTCTTAATTGCTTCTATATCTAATGAATGATAATTTTCAACTTCTGCTAAAAAATGCATACGTTTATATACTGACCTCATTATAATTTATTACATACTTTCGTTACCAATAATTATTCAGCTGAAAGTATCGAATTCCTTCTTTCTTAATGACAAAGTCATAAAAAATAGGGAATATTAATTATTCAAGAAAACTTAACAAAAAACTATCGATTGACGTACGGGTTTTGAATTTTGGAATGTGAAAACATTGGATTTCAGCTCAGTGGTCAGATAATGCTCATTTCGAGGCATAAATATACCAGGTCTCACATTTGTTGAAATTGTAAAAGCAGATTGCTAAGAAGCCCAGACCATGAGAAAACACTTATCCAGAACTCTCTGTGTTTCCGTTGATTTAAAAATCTGAAAAAATTCCCATACTCTGTTTTAGAACAAAATATATTGGAATTTTTTAAATTTTGAAGTCATATGGGGATCCGATTGCATATAAGGTACTGAATAAGTTCCTTAAGTTTAATGCTATCTCACAGAGGCGAAAACTTCGTTGGAGTTTATTAATGTTTCCATTGATTGTCTAGATTAGGTTGACCCATAATGTCAAACTATACACTATGGAGTGGGATGAAATATACATAATAATAATATTATTAATATTAACAATAATAATAATGGCAATAATAATAATAACGGTTCACAATTTCATAGACTATCTCTTATGTTCTGAGTAGATTTATCAAGCTAGTTTTTGTTATTAAATAAATGCCTTAACAGTTACGTTACTTTGACCATTGTGTATATATGTATGTATCTAAGATTTTGTGACGTTTATATATTGTACTTTTAGGTTTATCGATATACTTTCTGTAACTTTATTAAGTCCAGGTTCATTATGCCGACTAACACAACCTACACACATAAATATGCATAGTTTATGCTTAAGCATAACACCATTACAACAACAAAAGATATGTGCATTTTAATTTACCAAAAACAAATCGCCGTTTGGCATTAAGACAACACTGTATAACTAGTCATGAAAGTAACGTAGTTATTATCGCTTTTCAAATTATAAAAAAGAACTGACTCCAGTTGAAAATTTACGTAGTACCTACCATTTCCACTCAAGTTTAAGGTTGATACACAGCTGTTTACTAAAATCTGCGTAGGATTATATCACATATCTACTAGTCATACTCCAGTTAACGATAGACGTCGAGGTGGAGGGTATTTGTAGCGAATATTCCAGACATTTTGGCCGGTGACGCTTTATAACGTGTTATCAGTTATAAGTAACCTACTAATACCATCCATCTCCTAAACGTTTCGTGTTGGTCACAGAATAAAACACCTGGTGCAATTTCAGGATAGTTTGATAACTTTATTTTATTAGACAACTACTTGAAGTTGTCTGTCTGTTTTAAAAAATTCTAATTACTAAAACTAAGTTTTATTTTCTTCAATAGGAATATTTTATCTGAATTATTTTTTATTAGGGCTTTTGAAAGTAAACTATAAATTGTCTCATATGTTTTCAGTAATCTATGTCCCTGACAGATGGTTCATATATGATGTAGTTAATAAGCTGTTCTGCAAAGACGTATATACTTTGCCTATTGTATTATAGATCGTAAAGGTTTCCAAACTCTATTTTTCTTGTTTTTCATGAATGAGTTTCTTCAGTTTCTCTGTGTTTGCGTTTGAATTCATTGAATGAATGTTACGATATTGCTTCAAGTTCGCTGATTAAAATTCATAGTTCTATAAGTTACATCTGTACTTTTTGTTCTAAATTAATGATCTCATTAATTAGGAATATCTGCTTCTTCAAGATACCACACTTGACATCGTTATTATAGAAGGAGAGAAACGTAATAAGATGGAATGAGAAGCAATTGAAGTTGTTGAATATCGAACACAGAAGTATATTTGTAATGTTACTATTAAGGACTGAATAAACCGGTTTTTGCTGGATAATAAGAATTCTTTAAATCAATACACGATGATTACAAAATGGATATTAAACTTCGGTGTAAAAGATGAGTACTTGGTTTAAGTTTCGTTTTGAATAATAAAGACATTGGGACGTCCATTGTATCCCATTCATTCTTGTTTTTCGTTAATATTTTTCAATTCGAAACGATCAGTACCAGTAATAGTTGAGTTTGGGAAATATTGCGTAGATTTAGATTGATACATTAGTAAATAGTAACCAGTATCATGTTCACCTCATCTTGTATTGGTTGTGTGAATCTTCCTTTTGAAGTTTAGGATTGCAAATGATCAATCTCTTACTGGTGTATGTGTCGAAGTGAACAACAATATCTGGACGTAGGTACGCCCAGCTGACGATTCCGAAATAGGATGAAACGTGCGCCCTGGATTCCACTGCTAGCCACCATCCGTTTCTGCTTATAGTATTATGTTCTTCTGGTCTTTATTATAAGTCGGATTCTGTTGACCAATTTACCATGTAGTCGCTAGGTCAAGTAATTTGACACCCATCAGTAACATTTGATTAGTATTATGGACCAAGCAAACGTGCCACTGCTCAGTATTTAGTGATCAACCACCACAAATATCGCAGTTTTGTGTAAGCTAGTTACTGCACAGAGTTTAATGGTGATGTGTTACACTGGGATTTCGAGTGATACGAGTTCCTATCTCACAGAGAATATTACTGTCCTCATAAATGCAGGTATGCCATGAGGTCAAGCGCCAACTGATACAGAGAATGGTTCCGAATTCTCATCCCTACTAACACCTAATATTTCAAAATAGTGTACGTGGTGTCAAGTCAATTAAACTAGTGACCACACTGAAGTTTGATCAATAAAATTCGACCAACATTTTATAACTGGGTGTTCATAACCTTAGTTACCATTCGATGATTTTTAAAATTCACAAACACTCACTACCGGTACCTAAACCACTTAGTTAAACACTAACAGCAGCCTGATAATAGGAGATCTAAACTAGGGATTCACCTAACACGGACACTAGTACGATCAATAAAAATGGTTATTGGTAATCATTTTCAATTTTTAGCATATGTAAAATAAAATAAGACAAGGTTAAAAGTGATAGAAAAATATTGTATGGTCATTTATATGATTTAATTACTTGAAATTGATTGTAAAAATATTTTCAATGAATAATCGATTTAAAATAGGCAATTCATTAGGGAAAAGGAAGGGCGCACTTAATTATATCCTGTTGGGTGAATTACAACTGTCACTAGTCGAATCATTGATTTGAATGTAAAATTATTTCAAGTTGTGTCTTTCTGTACATTTGTATGTTATCCAGTGTTTCTGTAAGCATTCAAATTAGCTTATATATATATATACATATATACATAACTGTTTTGCTATTTTGTCATACCATAACAATTGATATAATGGCCATAAATCTTTATTATCATATCACAAGTTATTTCGAGTAAGATCATCTGTAACTTGCTTACTACATGTAGGTTTATGTTAATAACATTCATATCTGGTTCGCCGAATCCGTATCGTTGCAGCTTGGTTCGTAGCTGTCTAATTATTATTACACATGAGATACTTGAAGATGGGCCCAATATTGCCGGTCGTTTTACAATTTTCTAAGTGTTTGTGAACTGTTCTATTTTCTCTCACTTATGTGAAATGCAGACGTTGAACGAGTTTAGCTCACAGTATATCGCTTACTAAAAGGTTGAGACAGGAACACATAAGTTCGTCTGGTTAAAATGTTTGGTGGCTGATGGTAGTCAGTTGGAAGTATTGCATAAACCTACATTTCTTAGTAGTCAAAACTTGGCGACATGTTGTATCAGTTACTCAGAGGATTGTTATGAGTCTTTATTCAGAGTTACGACATAGGTTAACAATAGTTAGTCAATAATTGTGTATCCAATTTAGTCTTAGCTGAAATGTGCTACAACCTAAATTATCTACTAGCAAAATTTTCGACTGTGGTATCATCAGTCTCAGCTTCGGCCTCCCTCAAGAACACAGGTACACCGTGAATCACTATGATCATTTCAAGAAAACTGACATTTTTCTTTATCCTTTAATTTCGGTCACTTACTTCTAGGTAATGAAATAGAACAAGGAAGCGTAAGTGATAAAGTGGATGCTGGTGGCACTGTTGATGTTGGCTTAAGAGGTAGTGGAGGTACAGGGACTGATGTGAATGAAAAAGATACACTTGATGATCAAGCTGGTGCAGGCAAACGTATAAAGAAACTAGGTGGTCTGGCAGTCCGTCCCCAATATTCAACCAAGAAACAAGATTTTCAAGTAAGTTTTCTACAAAGATATTTGTTCTTGAGGTAGATATGAGTAAAGCAAGCCACAATGTTATATATATATATATTCATGATGCATTCATGCCTGCCTCAGAGACTACATTGATCAGACCTGTTTTCGATTGATCGCACATAATATTCTTGCTTCTTTCATTTGTACTATTTCAACGGGTTAATTTGGTCTGGTTATTTGCTCTCTATGACCTATGACCTATGTTTCGTGTTAATTGGTATTGAGTCAACAAGAAATGTCTGCAATAATAAAATAACGGGTGTCCATCGTAGGATTTAATTCACGATAGTTTTTTCTGTGCTAATGTAAACATTCTAGATAATCTTGGATACGACAAAATCATTATTTGAAATAACATGATATCGTAATGTACAAATTCGAGTTTCTGGAGAACAAATGGTTTGTAGTCAAATGGTTAAGCTAGTATTTAGAAAGCAAAAGCTGGTATCCATTCGATTGCTGCTCGGTGATGACTTTCTTTGTCAATAGTGGTAAAAAATATAGAATGAGTAGAAAGAGGTGCTACTTGAGGACATGAATTTTCCAGAGTATAGAATTTACAAACGGAGGCATAAATTGGAAACCATGCCTTTGAGTTTTTTCGCAAATTACAATCCGAATACCGTAAATCACAATATCAAATTAGTGTTTTAACGAACGCATGAATTACTCATTTGAAAAAAAATCGCTCACAAGTAAAAGCTAGACATTATGACATTAGCCATCTTCATGTGTTGTTTTACCACTCTCACCATAACGTAAAGTCATTTATGGAAGACAAAGCGATCTTATGATCTACTGTCATTCTAATTAAATCGTCTAACTCTAAATCCTCTTCTGATGAATTAAATTATGTAACCAGCTATATTAACAATAATAATTGTCCAGTGGTGCAATCTGAAACTTATTTAATACCGAGGGATAATCATATGCTCATTAGTGACTGGCTTCAAGAGGTATTTCCTCGAGTTCTAGTGAGAAGCAGTGACAAGCGGAGTTCAACCACCTCTGTCGTGAAATAGTAACTCACTGAAGACAATAGTGGATGGTTGCTCAACCTCGCGGATTGGTTGAAGTTAAACATTAACACCGTTGGGTGCCGGCTCAGTGGTCTAATGTTTAAGCGCTCTCGCGCGAGATTGATAGGTCCTGGGTTCGAATCTTGCGGGGTGGGACCGTGGATGCGCACTGCTGAGGAGTCCCACTGGGATAAAATGGCCATCTAATGCTTCCAGGATTTCACTGGTATTCTAGGTTCAATTGACCCATGAATTCAAAAGCAAAATTGCTAAAATCTCCACAAAACCCCTTCTGACAATAAATTTCTATAAATATCATTGATAACACTAAAAATGTAAATTGTTCTTAATACTAACCAGTGTTTTACAGAGAGATTTATTAAGGGAAATTATTCTCATTAAATTTTCGTTGCATCAGTGTGAGTATCAAGGGAAAATATCTGTTTCGTTCTAGTTCGTGACTTCTAAGCCTTGTGCATTCATGCTTACCTCAGAGACTATATTGATCAGACCTGTTTTCAATTGATCGCACCTAATATTCTTGCTTCTTTCCTTTGTACTATTTCAACGGGTTAATTTGATCTGGTTATTTACTCTCTAAAGAAGTGGCGTACTCTGAGTCACGAAAGGTCAGACAATTTAAGAATTTGATTTTTCTACTCATTGGGATATGAAAAATATATTATTTTTATTTATCACACTCAACACGTTTAAGTTTTACCTTTGGATATGATATCAATGAACCCTAAGACATTTTCAACTATATTTAATCCCTTTGTGACATGTAGTGCAATATTTAGTTCAGTTCCATTCATCACAGTTCACTTAATGGGTCATCTAAAAATTCATCTATTCAAGCTGGTTACTAATGAGCACATTGGTATAGTGAGAAGAGATTTTATGGATTAAGGGCGATTTCTTCCCAAACCTGGCATTACTTAAATAATACTAGTTCAGTCGCCTGCTTTTAAGACTAATCAGTAACATGATCGTTTATCCGAATTTAATACCAGTGGAAAAAATTATAAATTAAGTTCACAATCCACCCAACACGATAATATGATATACATACGATATTTTTTACTCGAAAGCACAGACACCTACCTCTGAACTGCTACCTAGTAGTGAGAAGTTTTCTACTCTTAAAGACCGATCAAAAGACAGAACTTTACTCACTTACTTACTTACGCCTGTTACCCCTGATGGAGCATAAGCCGTCGACCAGCATTCTCCAACCCAATTTGGCCTTCCTTTCTAGTTCTATCCAGTTCTTGTTCATTCTTGTCATATCTGTTTATATTTCTCGGGGTAATGAGTTATTTGGTCTTCCTCTTCTCCTTTGGACTTCAGGATTCCATGTGAGGGCTTCTCTTGTGACGCAGTTGGGTGATTTCCTCATTGTGTGTCCTATCCACTTCCAGCGCTCCTTCCTGATCTCTTCCTCCACTGGAATCTGGTTTGTTCTCTCCCACAGTAGCTTGTCTCTGATAGTGTCTGGCCAACGGATCCGAAGTATTTTGCGTAGACAACTGTTACTAAACACCTGTATCTTCTGGATGATGGCTTTCGTAATTCCACAGGTTTCCGCCCCATACAGTAGAACTGTCTTGACATTTGTATTGAAAATTCTGACTTCGGTGCTGGTTTGACGATTGTTTTGAGTTCCAGATATTCTTCAATTGTAGATATGCTGCTCTTGCTCTGCGATTTGCGCTTCCACATCTGAGTCAGATCCACCGTTTTCATCAGTGGTGCCGCCCAGATATGTAAAGGTTTTTACATCCTCCAAAGCTTCTCCGTCAAGTGTGATTATGTTGATTCATGCTGTGTTGTATCGGAGAGTATTGCTTTTCCCTTTGTATATTTTGAGACTTACTGCTGCTGAGGCTGCTGTCAGAAGGCAGGAAGTATAAAAGAAGCTTAGAAAATGTAAAAAGCAATGATGTCCATAAGGTTATGCGTGACTTTGAGTTTCAAAAGGCCTCAGAATCATGAAAAAATAAACAGCTACCTTTTAAATTTTTCTTGAAAATTCCCAGAGTGATAACTGGTCGAAATTTTTTTACATTTTTCCCAGTTTGTGTAGTCTTTTTCGAGGAACTGTGGAAAACCAAAAATACATATTAAATTATATCAAGCAACAGAAATTTGAAAATTTTCATACTTGAAATAAAACATAAAATAAGTTTCAAACATATAAATGTTTCATAGTTGAAAGCGTGAGTCAATTTAAGCTAGACCACCATGGAAAACCTGGAAGCACTGGACGGCCGTATCGTCTTATTATGGGACTCCTCAGCAGTGCGCAACCACGAACCCGCACTCGTGAGATTCGAACCCAGGACCTACCAGTCTCGAGCCGGAGCCCTTAACCGATAGACAACTGAGATGGCCGGCATCCAACGGTGTTAATGTCTAACTTCAACTGATCCACGAAGTTGGGCAACCATTCACCAATTGTCTTCAGTGAGTTCCTATCTCACAAAAGACGTGGTTTTGAACTCCACTGGTCACTGCTTCTCAATAGAGCTTTTGTATATACTTCTCGAAGTTAATAGTGAGCATATAATTATATTAATTATCAGAAGGGTTTTTTTTGTGGAGATTTAGTATATTTCATAGTTGAAAAGCAGTAACCAGTGGAGTTCAAAACCACGTCTTTTGTGAGATAGGAACTCACTGAAGACAATTGGTGAATGGTTGCCCAACTTCGTGGATCAGTTGAAGTTAGATATTAACACCGTTGGATGCCGGCCATCTCAGTTGTCTATCGGTTAAGGGCTCCGGCTCGAGACTGGTAGGTCCTGGGTTCGAATCTCGCGAGTGCGGATTCGTGGTTGCGCACTGCTGAGGAGTCCCATAATAGGACGATACGGCCGTCCAGTGCTTCCAGGTTTTCCATGGTGGTCTAGCTTCAATTGACTCACGCTTTCAACTATGAAATATACTAAATCTCCACAAAAAACCCTTTCTGATAATTAATATAAATGTTTGCTTAGAAACATGTTAAAGTGCTAATTTTAGCTTCATATTTTAGTTTCATGTTCAATAATTCAAGTGATCTCATTGACACAAATCAATGTCGATCTACTTCTACAACAGTTTTTTTTTATAAAGACCAACTGAAGAAAAACTCGTGAATTATTTTAAATAATTATACACCGTTAAATGGCTTTAAGATCTTAGGCAATCTTAGTCAATCAAAAAGCAGAAAATATGAATGGATGAAATATAATACTCAAGTCAAATAATTACAAAAGAATATATTATTTGTACGTGTCTGATAAACGTCCCTAAGTTTCTCATACGTTATTAAGCATTACGGTTAGAATATGGATTCATGAAAATAATTGAAGTTAGCCTATCTATATCATAAATAAGCAATCCAAGACTAATTCCTCGTTCTGATATGCTTTGAATATTAAGATGATTCTATATATCTTTTGGGTCCGAGTATACCACACAGCCCAACTGTAAATCGGTTAAACTAAAATTAGCAAATTAATGTCCGATTTCAATGTCTTACTGTTGACTGTACTGGGGTGTTAAAAACACAAGGTGTTTTCCTCGAAAAACCAGCATCTGAATCTCATCCGACCAAAGCTGCACAGGAAAGATTAGCTTCAAGGGACGAACTGTTGTACTTTGGTCATGAAAGAGTAAATGCCTCACCCGCACAAGCTATGACTTCAAGAGAGCACGAAAAAGGCTTATGGAGTTGGAATCCCATTGATTCAGAATCATCAAGAAATTCTTCAAATACTTTATCCAGTGCTACATACCCAGCAACGATAGCATTGGAGACGATAAAAGTCAGTTTTACAGGATTGTACAGAAATACCTAGGAAAAGACCTAATTATCCTGATGAAGAAGCTAAATGCCAAAGTAGGGATTAACTACACCGGGTATGAATATATCATGGGACGACGGGGATTGGGAAACAGAAATGAAAATGGCAA